GGCTTAACGGATAATGTTCTTCAAAATAGCATCGATCACTGCCTATCGTCGATGCTGAATATCAGCACTCACGACCCGTGCAGAGTGATGCGTTGCATCGCCGCTATAGCCTAAATCGATAATGAGCGTCGGGTGTCCATTGTGTCAAAAGCGCGACTTTGCAAGCGTTACTCTCGGCAACGAATCGATATGACGACCCTACATTATGATTAAGCTAAAGAGAGGAATTATTTCTTAACACCATTCGGATTTGGCTGGGCCTTCATGTTTTGTGTTTTGACATTGCTTTGACAGTTATCAAGTCGATGACCACTAGCAGAGAGAGGTTAAGCCATTCTATTCGGAGCGAGCTTCGCCCTTAACCGAAATAAGCTTCTTAACCTTCATCCTATAAATAACTATGAGGCAACGAGGCTAGTGGCTCCATTTGTCACGTCGTTTCGTGTTGAATTTCTACTGAATAATATGAACATGGTCTGCAGATACCACGACAGGAAGAACTGCAATTAGGCTCCTCCAAATACAGGACTCCAGAAAAAGAAGTGAATACGTTTTATTTTATTTTACTTTACTTTACTTCTTTTGTCAAATAGAATTAACGGTTCAGCTAAAAGGAAAAATTCAATTACTTGTTCTTGCTTCCAACTATCTAAAGAATTATATTAAAGTAATGCTTCTTGTGATACATGTACACTTTATTAAAATTTCGCTCCTCAATCTGACGCATTCAAAGTTTGTTACATCAAATCGAGTTTTTTTTAATGTTGTGACACATGAAGTTTCTATGAGTATACATGTTAAGCGTTACATGTGAACTATCTACTGTTAGGTAAGTTAATGGCCAATTTAACGCTTACTAATTTCAGCATCGAATTATATATTGTTGTTTTTCTGACCGATGTGTTTATGTTTTTCATCCGCATTTTATGTTTATCCGTTGTACATAGATCCATAATACGTTACTTCAGGTAATCAACGTATGGTTGAGGAAAAACAGTATGGATTTCATGTCAAATTATATACAAGAAACATATATTCATTGACGTTTTGATGTACATAAAGTGAATGATTTTTAGTGACCTATTCCGTAAATTATCAGTGGTGCACTCGTGTGTTACCTTTAAGAATAGAGACATTTACCAAGTAGAGAACAACGTTTGAATAAACATGGATTTAGGGAGTGAACTTACTGCCGAAGACGTACGTTAGCTAAATCCAGGTCGCCTTTATTAAATGTATACGAAAGGGTATATACAAATACAAGCGTAGATCTCAAGCGGCGAGGTGCCCCCCATAAGAATAAAATTATAGATTTTGTCTGTATGAGCGACTTATTTTTATCAAATTATCTGACCCATTCGGCGAACCATTGTTTCCGGCTTCATGCATATAAATCATATTGTCATTGCGTAATTTGTAAAATAGCGTAATATCAGCGATTGTATGGAGCTCCTTTATTTCCGGTATGCCGTGTCTCCGTAGGCTGCGTCAAAATGTAAAAACTTAGTGTGCACTCTACTAATGGCTAAAACATGTTTGGTCTTTGTGGTAAGTTTTTGTATCGAATAGTTAGAATATAAAGGTTATCTGTTAGACACCTCGCAAAGTATCATGGCATGTGACCTGTTATTACTACGTCTGTCCAATAGAAAATAGATATCGTACAGATACCCAGTACTTTCCTTCTATTTTTTCCAAGTTCTTTTACCTCACATGTACGTTATATACCACACATCCTATAAACATTTTTATTCAATCGTTTATGAAGCGCACGTTTATACCTCATGGATGTGGACTTTTAGGGATTTAGGTCTCTGCCTACATCAAGTTGCTAAGCATGAAAGCGCACCAGAAGGAAGACAACAGTCCTCGCTTATAGTATGCTTTTATTGTTTGTAACTTCAAAACTGCATAATGAAGAAGCTTCATCCTAGGCTACAACTGTCTTTGAAGCTAAATGTGTAAGAACGGCGTCATCAAAATGTTTACATTATTACTTAAACGTTGGTAATACTATATCATCTGTGGCAAATTTGAATCAAAACAACCTAAATCAAATTGCTTTTAGATATCGTAATGGGTGTGCATATAATACGCAGCTGTGCGTACTCGACGTTTCGTGTTTCGGCGCTTAATAGGGTTCGATTAACTTAAAATAAATTATTTTATGTAACATTCTATCTATGAATACGTATACGTGTTGGGAGGACAGCATGGGAAGATGGGCCAAACCTCACGAAACACTATTTCTATATTCGGCACTCTGCCTAAAGCTTTACAAGGAGACCTCAAAAAGCTATGAAAAATATTTTCAAGCTGAAAAATAGTAATTGTTAATTTGGCAGTATCAAGCATGTGTGATAAACCTGCTGGGGTAGGGTCTTAGCCAAAAATCGTTTCTTGGTGCATTTGGTACCAATAGTATCCTTGAAGAATATACAACCCTTAAATAAAATTAATTTACTGTTTCACCGTTTTCAAAATAACAAGAATCATAATTTATTTAGAAAAAAATGTCGTGGTATAGTGGTCCTCGATAGCGAGTTTATTCAGGAATATTACCAACTCATGAAGATAGCTAGCCGAACAGTGCTTTTCATTCTGAGAGGCTCTCGTTATTAATTTTGTAAAACTATTCTATCTATGCGCTTTTGCAGTTTTTTTTTGAAATCGCTAGTTACGTATGTAGCACCAACAAAAAACTTTATCGCGTTATTAGTTGCAAGATGCAACAATTCTCAGGTTCAAACCCCTTTTTCTCATCTGGCCTTTATTCCCATTAGTTTTATGTATTGGCGTATGGGAAGAACTTATATGTTGGTGCTTAAAGGCAACTTCAGGCCATTTCCAATTTTCGACAGGTTCCACTTTCACACAAACAGGCTTCGGTTAGTGATAATGACGATAAAACATTCTGTTCAAGTGTAAAGCAGGTGCATATTTAGATAGCAGGAATTTAGGTCTGCCTACAAATTAGCTAAATAGGTTTTCCCTTTTGCAGATGAGCTGCTGCTTATCAATAATTGATTTATTATTACCTGCACTGCCCGCTACTCTAATTATGACATCCATGCGAGCGGATTAGATGAACTGTAATACATGCCATCACTTTTTTCAACTATTTGTCGAAAAGTGGGAATTCTGCAAAAGCAAGCTTTACAACACCGCCAACACCAAGGACTAACCCTTTTCTTGACAAGCCCCACTTGGCTATTAAAGGTCACCAAAAATATCATAGCTAAAAATGCAGTTTAGCTTCTCAAGATAATAACATATACACTAACTGACGATTTGTTTTTCTGAAGAACAGTATTATTTATAATACACCTACAAGCACATCGGTTCATATGTTTGTTTTTATATTTAAATCAGGAAGAATTCACTTTGAAATCCATGTTGTTGGCCTAGGCATATATCAGTCTATGTTAGCCTAGGCGTATAAATTTGTTGAATACTATTCAAGTGCTTTCTGGATGACCGTCAGTTAAGTGGTTCTCAGTGTTTCGTGGTCCCCTGGACTTGTGAATTCAGACTCGGAGAGAAACCATGAAGTATTACCAACAGTTTTAACATACTCACCAAAATCCTTTCTAGGTTTTTAATCTTACCAGCAGCAAGACATTAGAGCAGGTTGTCTGAGTTTACAATTAACAAAAATGATGCTATGAAAAACAACATGGATTAACAGGAAAAAATCTGTACTGTCTCGAGACTTCATGCGATATCGCAGACTGTCTCTTAAAAAGGTAACGCTAAGAGGGATGGTTCAACAATGCAGTTATTTATATATATATATATATATATATAGACCTTCAATGTCACGACTACTTTTTATAGGTTACTACAGCCTGTATAGCGAAAACGTCAACGCTCTCTTCAACAATGATGGCACTCTCAATACCATGGTTCAAGTGAGAACGATAACTACAAGCGAGGCCACATAATAAATAAGGAGTATCAAACCATAAATTCGACAGAATTTACGGTATTATATGTATATATACTGACGTGTCCTTGTGTTCGACAATCCATGCAAGAGGTTGATTTGCCGACGCTTAGAGTTAATTCATAAGAAACTCAAATACATAGAATCTTACTCTGCAGGGCGATTCATTTTCCATCACGTGTACGAAGTGCTCTTTACGTACTTCATCCCCTTGGATAGCTCAAGTAGTCAATTTTAACGACTTTTCGAACATCAAGAGACGCTAGGATATATATTTAAACTTAGTTGATTATATAATGATAACATTTGGAATATGCTACATTGTAATATAAAAGCTTAATAGATTAATATAATGTATTTTTCATAGACCGCGTCAACCCAGATCGTAGAACTTGGGATATAAAAAGCGTAAAAAATTGCCCTCTGTATCTACGGAAAATCTGTCAAAACTTAGGTAAACGATCTGTATTGAACTGAAAATCCGTCTTCAGTTTATGACCAACTTCGACCTGAAGTTTTTCTGTCACTAACGGTTCCGTACACTTTTCTATAAATTTTTGGGTCTACGAGTTGAAACTACAACATTGTTGTTGTCGAATCTAATCATTTTTCTCATATTCGTATGTTGCATACGTTTGGTCCAAATAGTAGACTGGAGGTCTATTGAGACCCCATCGAACAAAGCCAGCAAGTACTTATCAACGTTCTACGTCCACGAGAGGCCTTGAATCAACACTAAGATTTGCACCGGCGTACAATAACCGAAGCAATAACCACAACACCCATGAAGACACCCTTGACCTATCTGACTTGCAAGAAGAACAATGCTCTTTTACAGCAGAACATAATATGGAAAACTATTATAACTATCTAAGCCAGAAAATAGCCCAAAAAATTTAGGAAACTTCCTAAATTTAAAAAATCCAGATACTTCCGACTGTTTCTGTAAGGTAACGAAAAACATACCTCATATTATGAATGCCATTTTTAGGTGCAGAACAATTTTTTAGTTTAGTTTTGCAGTCGTTTATTTATACGCTTATGGCAGCGGCACATAGCTAAGACGAATAGCATGCTAACCCGATTAATACCAAATCATACTAGACAAATAAAAGGGTACAAAAACCCATGATTTTATGATTTATCACTATTAAACTCTGTCATGTCCACATAAAGAGGCATTGCAATGTTGATGTGGTCAATATTTAAACAGGGTGGCAACAAACGTCAAATGAAACCTTGTGTAACGGAGCTCTCAGGCAAGAATTCTGTTAGTCGCCATCGATATCTATCATCGTAAAAGCATAAAAACGCACGTATCACCGTAGCTAACACTTACATTGAGCAGACTCTTGACTTGAACAGCCAAAGGTACAATGCCTATAGAAGCCGGGCTAGATCTCCTAATAATGGCCAATAAACAACAAGGAGACTTTAAGGACAATAGCCTAAGTTTAAGTACCGCATTCGAACGGGTCGTTTCGCAACTGGTTATCTAAAATCAGGACAGAGGTAAAATAAATATACAAGATCTCAAGAGTACATATATTAATTGCTGTTAGGAAATAACAGCAGCTGATTTTCAAGTATCGTTAACATAGTACTATTGAACTACACAACAACAAACAAAAATCATTAATATTAATTAAAAAGTGCCTAAGTTGACTTTTTCTCAAAACCTTAACTCGCAGTCAGCGCGCTACTGTGTATATGCTCGATCAATCCATGTCTAAACTCCCTGTCCATTATTTTCTTTATTACTGGTACATGCATCATCCCAGAATGGCGTCCGGCGACAAAGTAGCCCAATCTAAATAATCTAAGGTTCATTCCGAGACACAAGACATAGATTACGTTTTTACATAAGGTTTGTCATTTTATTCAATGATCAAACTCTTCACTTTCGTTTATCGATAGAAATTCAATGCAATTATGGTAATTAATTGCAATATTGATCTTCCCCTAAATTGTCAATGGCTTTTAGTATATCTGCGGTATGAGTGTGTATTTATTTGAGGTTACAAGCGAAGAGTGCATTGTTTCACTTCTATTTGCCGTAGAAAAATATTTACATGTACATCATATTATCACCACGTTTTAATAGCAAATACTCTTAGAATGGGAATAATTACAGTAATTCAGCTCAACCTTTTTCAATAGTCATCACCTAATAATAAAGGTAGCAAGGTGAGATTTAAGAGCATAGGCATCCACCGCCAGGATGGGTCTGATTTCTACAGAACTGATGGTCGCTTATGCTATTGTCTGCTTTTAGATATTTGGTAGTTAGATAAGGATCAGGAGAATTACGTGCACTTTCCTGAGCCTCTACGGTTCTTGGTCTTTAGTTTACACATACATATTTACATAGATACACACAATCAACATAAGAATAATTTTCAAGTCGGCTATCGTAACGATTTTGGCGTTTACTGTTCCTTGAAGCGCTTCTAAAATAGATTCTTTGCTTCATTTTTCTATCCTAACGCAGACTACTCTTAGATAAACTATGTGCCGCAAAACGCCGAACAAAAAAACATCTATCAATTATCAATCTATTAATATTTGAAGATAGTCTAAAGTATTTGTTAGTACTCTTGTCATCAAGCCGGGACATAGAAACACGTAAGAGTTCTTCGAAAACACTGACATTGACACTTGCACATACACACACATTGACCGTTGCCACTGTTACCGGCTTCTTTCATAATACACATTTAAATTAAGTTGCTCTATTACTTTTCCCTAGCTAAAAATTATCATAGCACTTTTCACTCAGCAGCGTGACGTTGTCCACCTAAGCCTAATATAGCAACAGTAGCAGCGCGTTCAGCCGCATTACGTCTTAGTTATTATTATTGCAGGTACATATTGACACGGAAAAAAAGTACTATTTTTCTATGGTTACATCAACTGGAATGATTTCGTCGTAAATGTACAGTGTATTGTTGGCAGAATCCATTGAGAAAAACGAGCAACTCGCCAATAGCTTAAAACCGGAGGAACCGAAAGCAGACAAATCGGATTCCTCTTTCCATTGCTGATAAAAGAAATATATTGAAGCTTTTAGGCATCACCGGGAGGAAATGTTTATCGCAGCATCACCGGTTTCGCCTTCGGTGATGCCTTCCATGGCGGGCTTGATTTGAACTGGTGGCGCTTGTCCGACGCTGATCTCGGCTTGCAATCGTTGTCGAATTGACGTTTGTTGCTGAAGCGTTCGACGTGGCCTCTTCCGAGGCTCCTCGCGTTGCTGCGGATAGTCTGGTTGCCGATCGCGAGCAGCAGCGGCAATTCAGTGGTCGGACAGTGGTGCTGCGACCTGAAATGTCAGGTGGGAAAAACAAATTCAGCAAAGTGACGTTTAGGTTTCAGCGAAAATCATAAGCGCAAACTGATGAGCATGAAGGGGAGTCTTGGTATAGAATTCAAAAGCACACCGTGTGTATGTATGCTCTACGTCAATACAGAAAAAGACTGAAGACGGACGGAAATCCATAAATAGACTAAATTAGTTTTATTGTTTGCTTGATCCAGCCGATGAGCTCATTTTAAATTGATGGGTGACTTATCATGATCTGTAAGAAGTTTGCGGAATTAATAAGGAGCCACTGCTAGTCGATCTAAATCTCCATTTGATAGGTATTGCGGCAAAACATTTTCGGTATCATTTAAACGTTAGCTTCAGTAGTTCGATATGACTGCTCAATGCACACTGCATCAGGGAAGTTAACGATTGGTTCTATTCTTATGAGCTTTAGTTAGCTCTAAAAAAATGATCCATAAAATACAGCGAAAGCCTTTTTCATCAGCATTGTATATCTTAGGCTAGATCAAGGCCTTTTCGTATCCTTAGGACACGCACGAATAGTTCATTGAAAATTAATTTTGCCACCGATGAAATTGTCTTCAGAAATTATTGTCGTGGTCTTCTTCACAATTACTAGATATTGTTGAAGGACAGTTCAATTTAGAATAGTATCAATAATATCTGAAAAAATACAGTACATTCTATGTCCTTATAAATCAATCATTTTATTGTGTGCAAAACGGTGAGTTCGAACTTCCCTGTATTAGCTACAATTTGTGTTTTAAATCGACAAATTTCGTAGGTCTGACGTGTCATTCCGCTATAAAAGCGCTGCAATCGAACGGGGCCTGTCAAACGGACGGCTAGCTATGCGAACCCAGAGTAATCTACTCGCATTGGGAAATAAAAGGCTTTAGCCGGTAAAAATATCCATGTTAATTACCTTATAATAGAGCTAGCTGTAAAATAACAGTCCGTGTTCGTATTCCCTTAGTCAAGGGTTTGTTTTCTATTACTCACAAATATTACTGACCCTTATTTCTGGAGCCGGACGCCGCGAAGCCGACACAGATCAAACAGAGGATCTGAAACACTGCCGCAATACCGAGGCTCCAGTTGAGAAGCTGATCAAAAAAGGTTTCCGCTTTGACGAATAGCACCTCCTCAGTGATGGTTTCCATCGCCACTCTTGTCCAGCTTGTCGCACTACGAACACAAACACGAATCACATAGACACTTCACGCTCGGCCTCACACCGAGCACGAACGAACTCTATGGGTGCTAGCCAGTTCATGGATGAATAGCTGGCCCAAAATGCGTTTGTTTTCAGTACTGCCTACACCGTTTTCTCGATTTGTTTCGCAATAGTTTCATTTAAACACTAAGTCGGTTTTACGGGACGTAGCCATATAAACTTCCATCGTATACTGGTTCAATTCCATATCGGGGCGTATCTGTGGGGTTCGACGATGAGGTTAGAGAAAGGGGGAGAGAATGCGTTGTGATGTTTGAGTTGGTCTGGTCGTCGTGATGAGGCTCCCCCCAGAGTCTCCCCGTAATGAGAGTACATCAGTAGTCGGCGCCATTGAGGGTGCGCGCGCAGCGCAGCGGAGAACGTTCAAGTGGCTCCATCTAGCGACTACGTCGTGTGCTATAATCCCACGAGATGAAACTGGAAGGTGGGGTCGCGTTCGATTCATCCTAGCGAACCTCACACATGATCGCTAATCTGCAGAGGTGAAATGAAGAAAGCGTAGGATTGATAGGGAGAATGACTCGATAGAATTTTACATGGAGTAACGGAACTCAACAGGCTAAGCAAGTTTGCAGATGGCTGAACTTGCACCGGTTAAAAAAAGACCTTATTAACTTGTAAGTTGTAATGGTGCAACCTGCCAGTATGGATCATAAGACTGAACAGTCATTTTTGAATTGTATGCCAACGTTATTACTTGCACCATTTAAACTTCAATTGAATTTAGCTGAGCTATTACCGTTATTGTAGCCATATTCATAGGAATATCAAATTGTTCAGCAGTTGTCTAAATAGAGAAGAGTGAGGAGAAACAGCATCAGCTTTTTATTAGTAAAATGAACATAGAGCTAGAGCATACATTCATTCACACAAGTTGTATAATGTATATATACAGTGTGAGGCATTAAAAATGTTTATGTTTCGTTTTAAAACGTGTAGCATATATATATATATATATAAGGTGATGTATCAAGAATTTTTCTTATGCTTTGTAACAAAACTTGTCTAATAAATAGCTATACTTATTAGACGGATAAAAAATTAAAGCACATACATTTTATCATTTACGGAATTTGTGTACTTATATATATATATATGTAGGCTGGTTAAGTGAGTCAGTAAACCAGCGATTATAATCCTTTCAATATCACAGCGACTTTGATAAAACACAGAATTTTTTACTACTAACTTTTTAATGCAAAACATTGCGTCAAACGATACTGCTAAATGTAATCTTGTAGCGGAAATATACTTAAAAAAACCATCGTAACTGAAACATAAGGTTCAAAACAACCGATATATATATATATATGTATATGCATATATATATATATATATATATATATATATATATATATATACATATACATATACATATTTTAAGGACAGTTTTTAAAATGCCGAGCGGGAGAGCCTGGTTGTGGCTTCAGCATGAGCTGAAGGGTTTACACAAATGTCTGATTTTTGCATTTTCTTATAATCCGCCATTGCAAGATCCGCCATTTCTAACTCCGTGGAGCATGTGACACAGCTCTTTTGATCGGTGCTACGCCGACTGCCGTTAGCGCTGAAATCTTCAGCGGCTTCAACTACATTTTAGTGCATTCGGTGATTTCACTGAGTCATGAAATCGCGCAGCGATGCTCCGTCAGTTTACGCAGGCGTGATTCCTTGATATAGTTTAGGAACACCTTAAAATCCACATAACAGAAATCGCTTCTGCTGGGTGAACGCGTGCAGCGTAATAGTTTCTCGGTATATTTCATACCGTCTAATACTAACAAGCAGTCAGGTGATGCTTTCCGTGGAAGCTTTCCCAATAGGCGGGCCTTGAATTCATACCGTGTTGCTTTACTGCAACAACAAATACAAAGCAGTACTGAGCTGGACCTGGCAAAAGTTCACCAGTTCCGAATAGACGCTTGTACGACCAGCTGTAGCCGCCTGCTGTCTTTGAGACACGGTAATAGTTCCAGTATTAGGTTTATTCAGAGATAGTTCTTTTGTATTCAAACAATTCATTTAGTTCAGATGATTTCACGCAAATCCTTTTCGTCTTTTGTGTTGATAAGGTTTAATAACATAAAAACAAGCTAGGCGGAGTATTTTAGTTAATTGAGAAACAACACATTGAGTCAGCCCGATTTATGTGTTAGAATATATATAATTATTATTTAGTATAAGTATTTGACACGTTGTTTCATGACTACTTACAAAATGATTAGTTTCGTTATTAATTAGTCAAGTAATAATGGTCTTAATATTTATGTTGGCAAAAATGTACATAATGTAGATTATGGTTTTTAAACTACATCAAGTTACACCTAATAGGTAATTTTCGGCGCTCATTAATTTCCGCAACTTAATTTCCGATATATTGTCATCCCAGCATACACGAAGTTTGGGCCATCTTGTCAATCTGTGATTGAGAAGCTGTCATTTTTCTATGGTATCGCTAATTTAGATGACGAAGACCCTTAAAACAATCAACAAGCATTTGAGTCACTTTTCCAGACCCAAAAATCTTGTATTTATCAATGGATTATTTGTTTTCAAGGTATGTAGATCGAGCAGATGGAAACGATGGAAAGAAAGATAGTGTATTTTTATGGTTTCTTTTTGGATCTAGTCTCCAGTATCAAGGGGGTGTCAGCTCTCCCACAGACGCTTCCCTATGCAACAAGTACCGAAAAATACAATTTATCATACAGTTGTTTCAAGCTTGAGAATTGGAAATAAAAGGGTAAATCAATGATCGAGTATTGACACGACCGCTGAGCAATAAAGCACGAGGCTATACCTTTAATACGCAGGTTGCCTAACGGACCAAAATACTCACAACGGTTTACCAAGGCAGATGAGGTGTTGCTATTATAAGAAGACTCGATTTAAGTTTGTACTTGACTATGGTAAAATAGGAAGAGCTATGGCAACCTATCGATAGCGTAGACCATCCGGGTGCCGGAATGGACAGCAGCCTTAGGTCCGTTGTTATGGGTTTCGTGTACCACTTAAACGAATCTTTCGATGTGAGCCCGCCAACGGGAGTGTCATTGGGTATGGAAGCAGTGCACCTAAGGTATGTCAAAATATAACATGCATGCATAAATATCAATTGTAGGTATAATCGGGTAAACGACCTGCAAAGCGCGCGCGACTGATACTTTATTTTTGAAAGCCTTGTCCAATCATGGTAAAGCTATTATCGTTAAAACGTACTTTCAATATTGAAATTCTGACGAGTCTGCAATAATTACATAGAACTGTGTCATACTTCCAACGTGAAACCGAAAGATATAATCAGTATCATTGAAGATGAATATTCTGATTACCGTCAGTACAGATACGGTTGAAGCATTCTCGTGTTTCGTATAATATGATAGTATTATTTAATTAATTTTCTATTCTTCTATCTAAATCTAATTAAAGGCAAACTTAATTTATGTAAAAGCGTCACGAATTGGTTGCTTCAATGAGAAATCGGAACCACTCAGTGGTGACCTCAGCCTGAGCTGCAAGACGGCTAGGTATGACGGCGCTTCCGGCAGGCGTACTCCTAAACAAATATTTATTATGCCGACCTAAAGAGACGATTTCCGTGCGGGTCGTTTACAACAAGCAGGGTACATAATAGTCGCTTATTACTAAGTTCAGTTGGATTTAACCCCAATATTATTTCTTTTGTATTATTACGATAATAGAACTATTAGTAAATTCGTTGCGACAAGTTACGCATGACGAAATTGACAGAAAATCCTTATTAGACATCTTCTAGCAGTTGTTGGTGAAAGTATTGATGCTGTAATTTTCATGAAAAGAGCGAGAACTTCATTTTGAAATACGATTTGTATCGAAACCTTTCGATACTTCGAACTTTTCGATCGTTCGAGCTATGAACGACCTTCCAATGGCCCACACCACGTCCGTAGAAAATGAATAACATGAAAATAGGGAAAGCTGAAGGCTTTTATATTATACATTTTTATAATGTAGATACTAAATGCATTTATATTCTTCATTAAGCTCTCTTTACGCTGAAATCTCTATTTCCGTGATAAATTAATTAGAACAGGCACTCATAAGGTTTAAACTGTTTTAGCAGAACTCATCCACCCATTTGGAAAGAGGTCTGCGTTTAGCGGCATATGGATGGCAGTTTTTCCATTATAGTTCGTACTGAGTTGGTATGTTGTCTACGGGCTCTTCATCGGTAATCAAAAATAAGAGATTCCTCTGGACCGATTACTAATTAACTTATTACAGTTAAGGTATGAATTTCTCTACGAATTTTAGCTATGTCATCGAATTTGATTGACTATTTGGGTCGATCAAAGCATTATGCCTTTGAGTTTTTCGAGCCTGAAGCGGTTCGAGAAATCCATGTTAGGTATTGCAATTTACGACTGCATCTTCATTATGTATGGCCAGGAACCGTTAACGTTATTCCGTCGATTATGCTTCAGTACTGACTATGAAGGAAGACAGCTCTCAGACGTTTATAGAGGACGTCTCCATAGCGAGGGTTTCTGACGTTAAAAAGGCTTTGGTCCAAGAGAATGTGGTTCGCTATATAGACATTGTAGTTCCCAGGATGTGACTCTTCTCCACTTCGCTGCTCTTCATATTCACTTAAAACTATGACAAATCCTATGCACAAAAGAAAATCCAGAAAGAAAAATATGGTTACTAGTTCAACTACTGCGTACGGTGAAAGCTGTAATGCCGAAATAAAAAAATCACTTATAAAAATATATTATTATGACAATAAAATCCGGCTTGGTAGCTACAAGGTAATATGTAATAATGTAGGACAACATTTGTGTGTTCAATTCCAACAAAAAAAAAGAGATCTTAGAAATGCCTTTTACACGAAAGAAACCGGCGTAAGTTGTGGCGCAACTTTTACCATTGGTTTCTTAAAACACATTGGATCGTGTCTAAATCATACTGAAGCTTATTTCTGGAGGCACTTCTGTATTTTGTAACGTTAAGATTACGATCATCACCATAACTATAAGCGGTCAGACAAACGTATGTGTCATTGTACTTCAGCAGCAAATTTCGTGTCTTCACTGTGAGGTGTCCTAGTTTCGCTTGAGGCAGAGCTCTCGAAGTAAAAAATCGACTCGCTATTTTACCGGTGGAAATATTTGCAATTTATTACGGTGCTAACAACGTCGGAAAGGCAGATGATTAACAAACGGCAGATCGCGTCAGCCGCCTTTTTAGCGCCGATCGATAGCTTGCAACATGTGCACAGCTGGTTCATTCTATCAAGCAGCGAATACCACTAGAGAGAGCAGTGGATTAGTGGACAGCTCGAAGGTGTATCTTAGAAGACGCATGTCGTGACCGAATTTTAAGTACGAATGTAAAAATCGCCGACCGACATGATCGAATCAATGGCCCTAACGTAATATCAGCACTATGAGAATGACGTAGCTATTTCGAAATTCGACATTTTACGTGCACCGCACGCCAAATAGAACTTTTTCTACCCAACAACGTTTATTGGAGAAAGACTGTGCTTTCTATTTTCCTCTGGTTGCCTTTGTGGCCAAAGTTTACCACACTTCGCCCATGTCTTTGATCTGTAGGTACGACATGCTTTTATGCCGTCCGGAAAGTGGAACGTTTTTGCGAAACAAAATAACGTTAGAGTAAACAGCTGGTAAGATAGGTCATATCAGCTAAAGTTCAATGATTTCTTGAAGAAACAAAATTATAAAAAGGAACCTAGGTTATAAGGACCGCAGTCATTGCGCATTGCGTACCACTATCTATGGTGCTCGTGTCGTCCAGCGTATGTTAATTGGCCGAGCACTATGTGTCACACAAATGTGTGACAACGTTCATCATTGGAAATGTTGAATTTGTTTGCTTGTGCAGGGAGTCCAGTCAGCTGAGACTCAAAAAACTCCCACCGTAGTCCTCAGCTGGACCTTGCTATATCGAATTTTTACTACCTTAAACCATTAGCATTTTAGGGCTGGCCTACGTTTACCGGTGGCGCAAACATAGAAAATAACGTTAGTTTCATCTGGTAGTCTTCTTACTCTCGAGAAAAAACTTCGCCAATAAGTAACAGCTAAATTGTTTTGTCAAATATTACACATGTTCTGCGTTGCTGGTAGCAGTGGTAAATAATGTGTAAACCAACTCATCGACGACTTCTATAGACCGAGGTTTTCCACTCGCTTCTTGTTGAAACCATAAGAACAGAATGATTAAAAAGCTGACGAGAGGTAAGTACGAGCTTATACGACTATGTAGACTCTCGATAGGATTGTAACACGGCCCAGCGTAAACTTAGTTAACAGAGCTTTCTACGTGCCACGGGATTCGGAATCGGTTGACCAACTTGTATACTATGCGCGTACCACAGGGCGCATTTAGCTTTTGTCGAAGGTATAACTGGAATAACGTTGTACATTTTTTTCTAATAGTCAACTTAGCGACGACAGCAGTACCTTGTTTTAGATGTATTGTTTATATATATGGGATAGTGCATGACTATTAAGATTCTAATCGGGCTTTTATCTACGCGTTAAACGGCGCGTCTTCCGCTGCCTTCTGAACAATCGATTCACTTGGTATCTGCTTCATGGACACATTCTCTCCTGTATTCTCCGTTCGTCACTAGTTTCGATGGCACGCTGAACGTCATTAAAAAAATGCTATTGAGTAAATCGCAGTGATGACGATGATCTTCCTTCCGCCCCGGTCGATCGCCACGGCGCCGAGCCTTTGAACGTCGGCTTTTTAGACGCGGCACCCCACATAATATGATAATGGTGGGACATTGATTATTAGCGGTGTTTTTGTCCCGGCGTCTGTTTGTCGCCAATAAAATACAAACGTAAACTCATCCGCGTAACAACGCTACACTTATGCTGGCGACAGCCGTAGTTATAGTCCGTGATGCCAGAGATTGGCTTTACCGCAGGCCTCGTCTCTGCTGAAACGCTTCATTAGAAAATATCTATACTTAGGGTTAATTAATTAGTTAACACCTATGCTATGTGGTCGGACATTATTGTCCATATCATTCTCCCGTTTAGTGACAGATGACTGTTCATTTCTACCTCTACATCTTAGATTTATCGGCAACCCTCAGCTAAACCGGTTGGTTAGGGTAGAAGCGGTGTATTTGGCGCTCGTGCGCTTACTGACAGGTTTTTTTCTAGCACACGAGTCAAATCGCTTTTACTCGAATTTAAATGAAGTGTAATGTGTTCTAACGTGTCCTGCTGTAGATGAAAATCTGTGTTCAGGACCAGCTTCAAAGCAGCAAAAGACCACGAACAAAACACGCAGAGAAAAAAAAACTCTCGGACATAGTGAACATCGTAACCGCTACTGCTGTTGCTGCCGAGAAAAACAAAAAGGGGAGGGGGATGGTGGTCTCTTTTTTTGAGGATCATTCCTGTCGCTCCATTGGCTGCCGCAAGTAGAGGCGGCGCCTGCGTAGATTTTAGTACGCTGTGAATGCTATTCTACTCATTGGTAAGGTAAGCTAAGCTACCTGTCGCATTAGCCCATAGGTAGGCAGGAAAAAGCCAGTCTCAACGTTTTGGGAGTGCATGCCGGTCCACGAACGTCCTAGTGCTATAGGCTATAAGCCCATAACATAGCGAAATCCAGCATACAATGGTCGACTATTATCCAAGCAAGCGTTCGATTACGTTCAGTTGCCGAGACGTGTGGGAAATTAGGACATTCAAGATTCATATTTTTAATTAAGTATCAGCAGCTTCATTACCGGATGGTTGCTAGGGCTCGCGAAGTGTTAGAGTTGCGAGGTGCTGACAGGAGGCCGGATTAAAGTGGAACGATTGTATAGGAGTCGTTCTTGTAGAAATCGTGAATGTCAGGGAACAATACTCCGGGCCAAAAGAAAGGTCAGTAATTGTACGACATTCCATGCGTTTATTCAAAACAATTCCTGACGGGTAATGATACGCATTAAGGATGTCCTTCCTTACACTTACGGAGTTGGCTTCTCAACTATCGTATCGTATTGAGTTACAAACATAGACTCCTCGGATGAAGATTTTCCTTTGCTTGTCTTATGCTCGACTTTAACGCTCGTGTAACTATGGATGCTTTCTCTTTCGTATAAGCGTTAATGTCAAGCTACACACACACACACACACACACACACAGATAAATTACAAATAATCCAAGAGGTATGCCCCTCTCAGACAAGCAATCGCCATAGCGGTTACCTTAATCTATCTGGCAAAATAGACTCGCCAACCACTGTGTAGTTGGGTAGCGGGACATATCCCGAAAGTTATAATGTCATAAACGCAATTAGGTGAAAAAAAAACATGGAATACTATAAACAACAGGTCTGATACGAACGTTTTTCCGTTCCGTCAATACACTGCAAAGCAAGCGCAAAGAACGTAACAAACAAAGTTTTGTTATCGCTACAAAGGCTTAAACAAGTACTTATCGCCAGCGTATTTGATTTGAGTTCACAGGTGTTTTACAAATCAGCTGCAGTAATTTAAGGTTAGTAATGTTTACTCTATGCGTGTACTTGCATTTTTTTAGAACATGTCTGAATCAATGTGCTAGAGCCAGAGAGATGGCTCATAGAAGGGACCACAGCGTGTTACCTGGATACATATTTTACTATTCCTTATACAGACGCACGTAGCGTTGGGCAAATGAAACACAAATATACCACATAAAATGTGCTAAGACCTATGTGGTGTGTGTCAGTTCGTTCTGTTTGCCCCTCTCAAGGCTTCATTGATCATCGCTTCTCTTATCAATAAGAATCGGGATCGATCTCGACGATCTTTTTTCCACATGTACAAGTAAATTTGAAATAAACAGGAGTGGTAGAGTGTTTAAATCTGCGGTGAGACTTCATGGCCTCCGTCTTGTTTCTATTGATTACCAGTTTTGCGTTTCTGACGCCTAACGAGAGCTTTGCGGGAGTCCGCTCGACATAAAACTGTATTTTTTCAATAAGGAAAAGATCGCCGGCATAAAGCAGCCATAACGAAAACAGAGGTACACTGGATTTGGGTTATCATCCAGTGCTATGCCTAGGTTGATCGAAATAACAATTCTGGCTGGACCACTCCATCATCTATGTTAATGGAGTATCTTGTAGGATAACGTCTGTTGTTAACCGTAAATCGCTCTAGTCAGATACAGCATCTTCCGAATAAGCTGTGCCAAATCGCTGTCTTGGGGGACCGTATCAAACACCAATTTGAAATGTGCAAACACGACGTAAAGAGCCTATTTTGGTCGACGACAGATACGACCCATTTTCTGAGGTATTATGCTGCATAAAGTGGAGAGTTGTGCGAGAATAAGTAAACAAGCTTTCAGGAACCTCGTCACACGCCATGTGATAACATAGGTAAGAGCCTTGTGGCAGCAACTTCTCGTCGCGACCACCCCCTATCTATAAAGATGAGTCGTGCGGATTACTTTTTTTCTTTGTGTATGACGCTTCGGAGGGCAGGACTTCAGTTCCTTGGCAGGCGGTCATGCTGTTAACAGGCACTGAATAAGCTTGTTCAGTAAAAAAAAATCATGTCGGCCGAACGTTTGAAGCATTGATTGCAAACGGAGCGCATGTCGATTTGTGGCTGCGGCTGGTTTGAGCCCTAAAAAATATCTTCTTTTGCCTGTCAAGATGTATGCGATCCTCTTGGCAACTGTTCCTTTGTAACTCTACCAACCACGTTCGACGACACACAATTGTCCGTGTCAAAAGAAACACCTAGAAAGCTGCATCGTCTTCACTCGCTTTCTACTGACGTAGCACCGTCACCTAATTTACAGTCCACGAATTGCGTTAATGACGTAACTTGAAGAAAATATTCGATAGGGAAAACTGTATTCGTAAGGACCGCTTCGTGATTAATTCTTCACTGATGCCATGCCTGATTTATCTCAGGTACACACTTTAGGCCATTCGTCGTACGAAACTGTTTTAAAGAAACTACTCAAATGTTTGTCTAGGCCGTTGTTTTTTGACATGCACAGCACTATCTAAGACACGATTATGTATGAAGCCAAGGCCCTATATACCAGGACCCGTAGGCATAACTAATTGCTTCTAGGCTGACTAGAGCTAGATTTAGCATTTTAGTTACCTTGAAGCTGCATGCTCGTAGTTACTTGGTCAAAAGAACTATGAAGTATACGTAAATCTAAAATGTGTTATAAAGCTGCTGAAACCCGTGTCTCTTTTTTTTCATATAATACGTTTATTCTCAATGAGGGAGGCGGTAGCAGTGCTGCAAAGGCTTCGGTTAATATTGCATTACATCGCTGTGAAATTCTAGGCGTCTGGATATTTACCTCGGCTGTTTTTAAGTTGACGGAAGGGTATCTCGAGGTCACCTTAACTTCCTGAAGTTATGTTTGGACAAGCAGATAGCTCGCTTTGTAACAGCGTGAATAAACCCATTGATCTTCCCGTAATTCTCCTGTTAAGTCGTTATCCTGTATCTCTTGTTAAGACGTCTTTACTGCATTTAGGCCTTATTTTGACTACCGCACTGTGCGACCACAACTTCCATAAGCGGCAGTGCACTATGGTTAATGTTTTCAAAGAAACTTTTTACTTTATACTGATGCCGTCTTTATTGCCGCAGGTAATACGCAGTCGCTGTCTCAGCAACAATTTGACGTTGCTGATGCTCTTTCTATACGCAAAATAGACAACGTACTGTATTCTTGAGGTAATTGTCAGATCTAGTACGACATCGAACGTACAAGGGAACCATATTTTGAAGCTTGGAGTTCCTGAACATTTCCGCACCGCCATTGGGTTGCACTTACCGCCTATTTTATCATTATATACCCGGTATCGCTAGATACAGCACAAAAAACACAAACTGAGCTACAGGGACTAGACCTCCATTTTGTTCTGGGAATATTGATTATTATTATTATTTCCAAATTTTAATGTCCAAGTCAAGTATCTTTTGAATGAAAGATCACTTAGCTCTAGACTCTTAACTTACAGTAAGGGATTTCAACTAATTATTAGATGATTATTTCAAAGTATCGATTATAGTTGAAACTCATAGAAATATGTAGACCTCGAAACAGAAATTCCTTCCTAGAATAGAGAGATGTACCTGGGCGAGGCACCTAAATAGGCGCATGGATCATCTCTACAGTTTGTTTAGAGTCAGAATTCTATGCTTGATATTTAGGCAAAGACTTATCCAATCGATAGTCTACAAAAGAGCGCACCGGCAGTGGCCACCACTAAATAACTGTTTCGTGCCTGTGACGAGCGGCGCAAGAAACGCTCCATATGTTCCTCCGCAAGAGTATTCAACGATTATGAACAGCTCATGAAATCTGCTCGCGGCAGCTAATCCGGAACGCGTCTTTACTTTTTTTTTTAGTCGAATATCCCATATCACCGTCTAGAGGAATCCCAACTGACTCTGCCCAATGCCTGCTGCTCTTTCAACTCATCCGCCGCTCACTGACAGGGATGATAGCGACGAAGGGTCCGCCTGTAATACGCGCCTATCCGGCATCACGTACAACCTTACCTCTCCAGCATCTCTATCGAGCTCAGGCAGTGATCCCGGCCAGTGGTTAACGCCTCCCGCCGCGTCCCCGTTTACCCACAGCAGTCGTACATCGAATTGGTCCTTCGAGGATGAGCCATCCTGGTGTTCGGCGTGTCTTGCCGGCGTGGGCAGATGGGTTATTGGCAAACTGGCCGAAGACATCAGCCGGAGCGAGGCGTGGCTTTTAGCCACTATTACCGGAGTTAACTTTTTGTCGTTCTGCGCGGGTAGCATTATTGCGCCTATTTTACCACAGCATCTTGCAAAAAAGATGGAACAATTTGGCAAAGAAGGTAAGGGCACTATGCCTCTGTCTGATTTTTATCATTACCTAGTTAGAACTAGCATTCCCTTGTTAGCAGAAGGATGTTACACTGCGTTAATTAGTACAAGCCATTCTGTGTCAACCGTATTACCATGCAGTAATAAGCGACCGATTGAACGTTCTATTTTTACAATTTAGATCTAACAAAAACAACGTTCATGTCAAAATCTCGAACAATATACTATTATCTAAATGGATATTTACGTAATAATAATAATATAAGAAATTAACAGTATACCAATACGTAATGACGAGCAAGAGTTTAATGCCAATTTAAGAGGGACTCCCTATCGTTGTTGCACGAACCTGGAAAAAAGTTCCCACAAAGAACTTCGTAACATCTTTAGTTTAATAACAGCAGGATAACTGTCAATGCCAAATGATTATTTCACATTATCGGCCTCCGCTTTCGTTGCTCACTTCGTTTTTTGAAAAATGTTTTAAAGGTTAATACAATGTATTCTGATTTCCTACGAGAGTTAGGTCCGTAGGCTTAAATTTTGACTGTGGGTACCTCTACGAAGATGGTTAGATGATTTCCGTTAGTGTGTACCTGTTGCTTCTTTTCCTTTCGAATTATTTCCATGTCTGATGAGTTCCTTGAATCGAAAAATCACAATGGTCTTAGCAAATGCTACTTATTAATGCTTACCGGTACCAGGTAAACGTTGCGTCGTCCTATTTGGTGCTCTGCGTATACCTAGCAGATTAAACCTTCTGCATGACGTTTCTTAATAGCACGCTGTTATGGCGGCACTCTAATCCAGCGGTTGCCTTCGTGAGAATTTCCATGTTGAATTTTACGTCCTTAGAGAATCCCTATTTTTCTAATGCAAACTTTTAGCGGAATCGGCATAATTCTATCGAGACTACTATCAGTTGTTTACCCAACGTTACGTTGTGCACGTGGTTGAGTTAGGCACTGGTAAGCCATTTGATATTTCCAGATGCTATCCTCAAAGTCAGTTCAGCTTGTACGTCTCTCACACGTTTTCAGGGCGCCGATCCGTCCAGTTCCTTGGCAGATATCTAAATTGTAAACCGGAAAAAAAAGATGATCTTATGTTAGGAAACAGCGACGGCAAGGACGAACCTTTCCCGAAACGACTGTGCAACTGTCGATACGATGACGATGATTAATAGTATTTTTATCTCTTTGCAATTAAACGAATAGCGTTCGTTCAGGCCAATATACCATAGAACCGCACGATCCAAGACCCGATCGATTTCAATGATCTTATCGAGGTAGTTGCCTGAATTCTCTCACGTAAAGACCACTGCTACATATGCGGTCTTGTGGCGTCTCAAAAGTAATACTGCATTCTGTCTCTGTCAGTTCACCTTACCGATATTCACAAACAGTCACCTCGTGCGAAATGGACGTCTTGTCTGCTAATAGGATTACGCGTCAATGATACTCGTAGAGATAGCTCCCTCGAAAACTACGTCAAGCTTAAACCATTTACGACGCTAACAGCGCAACGGATACGATTCATTTGCGTATTCGCCGTTACGGCTTGGCTTTCTATTTACGTGTCGTTTTCTTGTTTCCGCAAAAGTATAGATCTTTACACTTTATGTAGATATAACTACTAATTATTTCGTCCGTTATGCCGCTGACAGCGCGCAGTAAAACACAGATTGTAAAGTGCATCTTTTCACATTGCCTATACGAAAATGTTAGAGCTCCCCTTTTCTATTGGCTTACAAACGATCGTTCCCGAGATTGTTCGGATCAATCAGTTCATGTTAATAACTGAATCGATTTATCAATCCATCATTTCAGGTACAGTCAGTGAGTTGCACGTCTCACTTGCCTTTGTCCTATATGCAGGATCATCAATGATCTCCTCGCTCGTTTTCGGCCCATTTATTCCTCGGTTCGGTGTTGAGTATCTCTACTATCCCGGTCTGATAACAGTCGCCCTTACCAACATCGCCTTGGGCGCTCTCGATCTCTTGCCAATCGGTTCCTACGAGAATTACATTCTTGCCCAGCGCGTTGTAAGTAGCACCGAACGGTCACATGGTACTGGGTAGAACGGGTGACATCTGGTACATAATCAGCACACAAGCAATCCATTTCAAAAATATGCTGGTTGTATTTCCAGAAAAAAACGAAAACGTTCAGTGCGAAATAGCTAGAAAAACTGTTTGTTTTTTTCAGTATGAAGAAACAACGGTACAGAAAGATGGATTCCATATCAATGAATAAGGTAGATAAGCGACTATGGAAATACGCGAATAACAACGAGTACAATTGGTGCTCTCGCTAAACAATAGCGCGTCCAACATTTCAGAACCTACGGATACAAAGGACACACTATACTGGGCCTGTTTCAGGCACATCCAGGAATTGCAGAACGATTGTTCTTCTTCTTCTTCTTCTTTCATCAAATCATATGATCACCAAAAATACAGAAAATAGACACAATGACTCCAACCAATTCAAAGTATTAGAGCATAAGTGGTATATATATATAGTTACTGATGCATTATTGATGGACACCAGAAACCCTCAAAGCTCCGGTACTGGTGATAGGAAACAGGATATCGCACGTCTCAAGTCGGTGACAGAATGATGGTCGTAATTAGTAACAGAAGTGTTCTTCCTCGATAGATTCGCGTCATTGAGGGCATTGGCGCTGCCGCATTCAACACTTCGTCACACAGCATTATAATGAAAGTTTTTTCGCGTTACATCGACGAAGCGTTTGCCGCAGTTGAAGCAGCGGTCGCGATCAGCTTCTCATTAGGTCCAATTATTGGCAGCCTACTCGTCTCATCGTTCGGCTGGTTCTGGGCATTTTTCGTGTTCGGCATTATTGTACTAGCGACTATTCCGATTTCAGTGTGCGTTTTTGGTAACTACGGTTCTCTTCGCTATGTCGAATACCTGCGAATCCGAGGGGACCCTTTATTGCCATTGGAAATTGTGCTTTCATGGAAGGGCCTATTCGTTGTCATCACGATGATCATTACAACAACTGCATTCAGCTTCGTGGAGCCCACCCTTGAGCTGTTCCTCGAAAACACAATTCAAACTGAACACAGTACAGCCTACTATTTCGCAGAGGCTACTTCCTTTGCCTTAACCGCTCTGGCTGTAGCACCGTTCATCGCTGCAAGGTAAAAAAAAAAAAATACACCTATCTATCTCGCATTGTTCATTTAGGCAAATTTTCCGTCTCTTAAAAACTTTTCGCCTTATCTATACTTTGAAAAAGCGTAAATTAGTTAAAGAACTAGAAAATTTCCTCTCTATGGTCATATGTATCATTGAAAACATCATATATATATATGTATATAAACAAATAGATTTGGATGTGTATCAAGCTACCTTCGTCTTCACTTAAGGTGCATAGCAATATGAGCTGAGGAGTTACAGCATTTTATTTTGTGATTAATCTAAATAAAACGTTTTTTTACGTGTTCGTAACTTGAAGGTCAAAAATGGGCACAATGATCTTGGGAACGTCAATTCTAGGAATCTCCTTCCTGCTTATGGGTCCGTGCCGATACATCTTACGCAAACCGAACGACGTGGCCACAATGTTTGGCGTAATCGTTTTGGGAATAGGCTTTGCCTTAGCCTACGTACCAACCCTCGACTTCCTTGTCGATACTGCGATCTACGATTTGGGATATTTCAAACACCCTGCGACGTACGGGCCTATCTCTGGCCTATGGAATTTCTTGAACGGTTTTGGCGAAACGTTTGGCCCTGTTATCGCCATGTTCCAGAATTCACCGGACATCAGGGACGCGACCCTCGTATTCTCGACGGTACTATTTACTTGTGTGGGTAGCTTACGCGTATTTTTTCATTCTTCATTTATATTGGTTTTGAGTACAGCTGAAACAAAATCAACGTTTGCTTACATTAACGCATGCTGCATTCAGCCATTGTCCGCCGTTCTTATTTCGGCTCTTATAACTTTAGTTTCGATTCTTCAAAGATTCATATACGATTGCTCTTGTCGTTCGCAGTCGAGTATGAATAACTTGACTTAATTTTGTGTTTATGGTTATAGGGAATCGGATTAACGCTGATTTTCTTCCATCTCTCTGTCGAAAAAACACTTGAGGGACACCGATTAGCCGAGGGGAGGAAAGTAGGAAAAACGGCAGCGTTTGCTAGTAGAAAGAGTCGGACACTAGCAGATAAATCCAAGTTGAACAACAGCAGTAATGATGACAATATGGATAACGAGTCACATACCGAAAGCGGCGAACTAGCCAATGCTATTAAATACTTCTTAAAACCCAGCAAGAAGGACAAACACGTATATGAACCCCCTTTTATACAAAGACATATTAATAATGTCTAAAAATAGATACATGTCCAATCTTGCCTTTCTAACTTCGAGTTATAACAGTATTGTTTGCTATACAAACATTTTACGCTCTAAATGTGTGCACCTATATATATATATATATATATATATATATATATACAGGTGCACGCATATAAAGATGTAAATGTGTAAAAAAGTAAAATATTTAGGGTTAGGCTATGGCAAAAAGTGTGACCATTAGCGGGCCAACCTGCTAAAAATGTTGCACTTTATACGTAAGTGGATACAATTCAAGATCGGTCCATTCTAAACATATGTAAAAAGCGGATTGATAAGCATTTCACATTAATGTAGGCGTGCTGATTTGATTATTTTGATAAGAAAAAAAATCAAGCGTAGGCTTTTTTTATCGAGAAAAAGTAACTATAATAAAGCTCAAATACCTGTAACTGATGGCCGACTTATCTCAGGGCTGCCGTTCTATATATATATATATATATATATTAAAACGGTAAAAATCTTTCTGGTTGTAATTTTCAAGGGTCTGGTCCCTATGAAGATATTGACTCCATATAATGGTAAATGGGTCACATAAAGCTGATTGTTTCCCGCGTGTATTTTTACAGAAATTGTGTCTACTCCGCATATTATACATTTGAGTACAGAAAATGCTTTAATTAGAAAATTACTATTATTACAGTAGACATTTATATGAACCGTAGAACACTGGAAAAAAGTTGTGTTGTTCATTATTCCGCAAAATAGGGTGGCAAAAAAATTTTCCGCAAAAATATTTATGATGAGTTGAATATAAATCTAACCCTAGGTAGGATTTCTTAGAAGCTATCGTTGCTTCTAAAGGTTGCCGCTGAAGGTTTCAATAGATACTGTGCAAGCATATCTTGTAGTGCCTCTAGAGCCACCTACCGAAGTAGTAAAACAAGCCCCACATAACCTAAGCTTAAGCAAAACCCTTTGCTCTGCAAAATCTTAGCATTGTCCCCTATATACTGTATATATATCATTTGCGGTCTATAACAAATCTTTCTTGAATCAATAAATCGTAACATTGATGTTAAACATACATAATCAGTACCCATGTTACCGTTATATAAACTTATAATTGAAATTGTGTACAGCTTAAAAATTAAATTAGCCACATATTAAAGGCACTAAGCCTAAACAAAATATGTCAATAAAACGAGCTATTAAAGGTCAAGAAGTATAAAGTCTATCGCACAAACGCTGCTATTCGTTTCCACATAGCTGCACACCTATTACTGTTGTAATAAGTGGATCGACAAAAAACATATTTCAGATTTACTAGATGTTGTTCCTACCCAGAAAATATCAAGTTCACCATAACATCTTTCTAAAACCAACAAATCTCCATTTGAAATTATTTGTAAAACACTGTAGTTTATCTGCCTGTTTGTATTACCCGCTGCTTTCGACGCTTGAAGACTAATGTATTTCGAGATTACGCAGATATACATTATGTATAGACTTAATACGTTTGACAGGTCTTTTAGGCATGTTCTTGTAGGATTTCGAGGTAAGCCACTGACCCCCGAATATATCTTTGACTTTGTTTCATGAACTAATGACAAACTCAAAGGTCGATGTTAAGAAGCGCTACTTTCCCCGGCGTGATAGTTGTCAACACGGATTTAAATACTATAGAAAAATGAATTACGTACTATGAGTTCCTAGATGCAGCTTTTTGGTTCCTGCTGCAGGCCCTTAAAGCCTCGAACTTTTGAAGTACGTATTGTTCAATTTAATTGTAACAGTACCACTTTCAGGAAACAAGCATACCAAAAAAAGGGATAGGAATACTCATCGTTCCCTACTCATATTTCGTTCTATACTTCACAGGACCTACCTATATTTCAGCAAAAAAAAAAACTAAATACATTTTAGTAGATGGAAACACCTCGTTGCTGTTACTATGCCATTGGAGCCAATGGCAGTTCCAAATAAAAATTGGTATACGAGTGCTAACCCCCTGCGCATGAAACAACACGATGCGACGCTTACTAACATTTAATAACGCCAATTACAACAGGACCATTTTTTATTTATCAAGTACTCGTTGACGGGAGAAATCTTTTTGGAACGATTGGTTAAACATTACATCGAAAGAAGCCTCCTTTTCCCAAATTACTATCTGACGCCTGTCCTTCATTTGCATTATCTGCTTGGCAGATGCTGCCATTTTTCCCCACGACTTTCAGCACTGTAATTATCATTTCGGCACAGGGTAGATCCTATGGATTCCAGGTGAAGCCAAGTATAAATTCACCGCAGACGTCCTCGTTCCTCGTCGCCATCTAGACAGGATCTAAAAATATTTCAGATGCCGTACACCTCTTTTTTATCGTAGTTTGCGCAGCTGGGAGATGCGCTCTTACCAATTTGATAGCAGTACTTTTCGAAGGTCACATGGCTGGCAATTGGTTGAGTGAATACGTTAATGACCCGTGCCCACAACCATAGAATTCACCCAATCCAAGGATCAGGAGTTTCGTTCAGAATTCAGGTTGTCCTGTTCGATCGAGGTCCGCCGTTTTTTGCTGATGAAATCTCACAATGTGGTCGAAGCAACTCTGAGATCCCACGGTATTTGCTAGAACCTGCACGCAGTTGCAGTGCAGGTTTCTCTTGAGAGGTTGAAGGCTATGAAGTGCTGCGTTCTGTCCAGGACCTTACGCGTCGTTTGTCTTTGAGTTGTCTATTTCCAGATTCGCGAGGCATGCAGCATGATGTCGTCCACCACTGACGTTAGAAACCATCTTGTCTCGTCTGAGGCTCCTTTAGGTCGTGAGAGCAAAAGTCGAAGATCGCTGGTTGCCTGAACGGCCCGCTTTACTGCTTGGTGAACGCGCGGTTGTAAGCACAACCCTCACGTACTTAACCTATTTGAATAGCCCTGCCAGATGGCTAACCGATTTAATGCGTAATCCTGGCTGGCGTTTTTGTCCGTTCAACAACACCCCTTCTGCTTCTTCGGCGCAAGGCTATGTCCTGGCCAGGTTAAGATGTTTGTGAAAGTCACATCTGCCACTCATTTCCCGATCGATCAAGACCAGCACAAGCTCGTTTATGTAAGCCGCTGGGTGCACGTCCGGAAAACGAGATAGACGTAGCACCCCATCTTACATAATATTTTATGAAATAGGTCCGAAGACCGAAGCCTGTGGGGCCTCTGGTAGGCCGCTTCATCATATGTCGCCAGTCCGGTGCCTCTCTTAGGCATGACCCTTTCATCCTAAGTAGATACGGTGGGATATCTAGTGATCTAAAAACATTGTTTGTCGCAACTAGGTCACGGAGTTTTACGTATTATCTAGGAGTAATGTTTTCTAAATCGGAAGAATATTGGCCTCCTTGCTTCTGCGATTTCCGAAACATTGTTGATAGGAGTGTGTGTGGAGTTACCTCTCCTAAAGCCATGTGAATCGCCCGACAATGCTTATCTTTTTCATTGAATTGCAGTTGATCATGCGTTCTACGGCCGCTGACAGCACTCCTGGCATTCTTATTGGTTAATATGGTAATGGATCCCTTGGTTATTTACTCGCTTCGGGATAAGCGCAGAGCGCGCAACTTTTTAAACCGTTGAGTTGCCTATCCGAAGCATTTCGGCTACCCAACGCTGAAAGATTTCTGCATAATCTCTGACGAGCCTTAGTAGCACTTCCGTAGGGACAGCATTACGGCCCGGAACTTTTCTCGTTTTTATTTTCGCCTTAACCTTACCGATGATAAGTAGATGTAAGTCGAAGCTTGCATTAGCAGACAAAACAATTGGGTGTGAATGTAGGTCTGTCGGGAAACAGCGCGGTTATGGCCCTCCGCGCTTTTTGCGATAGGAGCTAGAAAAACATACTAAAAATTACCTTGTACGATATTGTACCTATTTTTCTACGAGCACTTTTTCGCAGAGCAATTTCTAATTATCGTTTTTGTTCTTGCATGTCTTTCGGTAGTTTCCGGCATACCTCACCGTATACTTCTCAACGCTTAAGAGCGTTTTACGAATACTAGGCTCCAAGTCGTGTACACCTTTTTAACCGATGACTTCAGTCACTAGTACCATAGAAGATTGTAGGTGCATAAAATGAGAGTTTGTCGTTCGGCTGGCACTTAATACGCCTTTTCCAGCATTTTCGAGATACGGAGTTACAAGACCCGCATGTTAAATTCACCTTTGCCTATCATAGTCCATCTGTATGTATGCATCTGGCTGATCCAGGTGTGTAATCGGCGGTTGCAGATGAGCCTGGGAAACGTAAAGCGTATACGATGCAAAAGTGGTCAGACAGGATTTCTGTGTATAATTTGTGCATGCAAATCGGATACAGAAAGAGGATGCAGGCTCCTAACGCTCCTTGCTCAAGGCCTTTTACAACACTTGGACTGAGATAATACATGCGTTGTAGGACTGGAGCCACCTCGTTCACTGGACACAGGGTCTATTTTATCTTGATGTGTTCTTGCTTGGAGAACAGTTGGATGGCCTTGATCAATGAGTTAGCGATGCAAAAATAATGCCTGGAGCGTGTTTGCTCGCACGGATTGGCTGGAATATCAGTAATCGCCATCTTACCGAAGGACAACGCGTTAAAAATCTGACTATATTTTGGTGGCGTCCTTATTGTTGATGACCATCGTCCTAGATTGTCCTGGAACCTGCACGTTAGCTGTCATTGTCGTGCTTAAAGTGACAGCTGCTGCAGTGCAAATGGAAATGCCATTGGTGTGGTCCTCTTTAACTATAATTTTTATGCCTCTATTGAGGATTTTGAAATTCGTTGCACTTGTATCTCTCATGTTGACGGAATGACATTTCGGCCAGTGCGGACTGTGTCAGCGTACGTACCCATACTGATCCCAAGAATGACGATTTTCACTATGGTGTTCTTGCACTTAGGCTTTATTGATTTTCTTGGAAAGCGGCCTTCTTCGCAGATCATGGAAAAATGCATGATGCGCTGCTTGTCCCTAATTGTAGAAATGGCTATAATTGCTAACTTAATGCCATTCCTGTCTAGAGCTTCGCGTAAAAGGCATGTTGCCTCCCTAAAAGCATGCAGCTGTAAGGCTGTGACTTGCAGAATAATTTGAGCGATAAGGTCTAGAAGGTGGCATAATGTGGTTTTGTTATCTGTACCCATAGCTCCAAGTCTTGGGCAGCTACAGTTCAAAAATAAGACCTTGCATCATCTAGGACGGAAAACTTAGTGGTAAAATGTTGCAATGAGCGGTTGTCCGTATTGTGTTTCGCCGAGAGTAGAACTAAGCGTGTTAGCTTGTCGGATGGAACGCTCGCAATAGACAGCTTCGTCTAGCTGAAGGTTGGACAGCCCTTCGGCAGCAGTGTGAAGTACTGTTCTTCCGTCAAACTCGGGCCCTTAAGTATATTGCTTTACGGCCCCTTATTCTCCCTGCAATTTTTTTCCTTACCACCGTGTCCATCGCTTTCCGTTGACGTGCCTTTGGTTATTTTCATGTGGGGATCCTCCTTTCGCGATCTTTGGTAAGCTTCCTTATTTGTTTGCCTAGTAAGATGACGCTAGTTTTTCGTATCTCTGACAGCTCGAATTAGAGCCTTTAGCTTGTTCGAATAGTGCTTTCAAATGATTGGTAGTAACTCCCTTAATTATTGTTATGGCTTTATCGGGAAGGAAACACTTTGTCTTGGTGGTTTGTAAATTTGATTTCTTCTTTTGCTGTAGAACCTATCTGCGAGGCTTCTGCTTCCATTGTGTCAGACTCTGTGACTAGAAGGCGTCTTTATCGCTATCTGTCTTTTCGAAGCTGCTAGCGTAACTTATAGTCGTGTTGCTTTCGGTTTTGGTTTGATCGCTCTCGATTGCATCGCAGTCACCTTTCGTCTTTTTCAAGGATGTTATAGGGGTTAGCGATCGTTATGTGGCTGTTTAGAGGGCTTTCATAGTCCGCAACGATTGGCTGAAAGCACCCGCTCATTAGCACGTGACGGAGCAAAAAGTGTCTAGCCACCTCCTGCCGGTTGATTGCTCATATCCAACGGATCAGCTACTGCTGTGATCGGTATAGTCTTCGAAGTGCGAAATCTGAGCTTTGCACCTTGCCTTCAAAAGCCTGCAACTAGGGGAAGGCGCTGTAGTGTGTTTTCAAGGCATAGATCTCCCTTTTTTACCATCTCAGCTTCATATTCTAGTGATACGATAACAGCTTTATATGGTTAGAGAGCAGATCAGCTAAAAACACCGTTAGAAGTGTTCTTAAAATTAATTCAGTGTAAGTTTCCCTGATTCGGGTGTTGCAAGGGCAGTTTGGCCGAATTGTACAAATAAACTTGTGTTATATCATGTCTGTCTATTGTAGTGAATTAGCTCTTCTCTTTTTTAGTCATTAATTTCTTCATATTTAACCCAAAACGGGACGTACGTTTGTGCTTTCTTTAGCCCTGCTTGTTTCAGTTAAACCATCCTGTTTTACAGCTCAGTAAAATAGACGTACTAAGGTGTGCGATATAATTGCGGAAAAGTTTTGAGCTCTGCTAATAAAAAAAATAATAATTAAACTATATTATAGCGGCTTACGCAACGTACTTGAGGGGTCGCCGTTACTTATTCATTTACTGAACTCACTAGCGATGATGGTACCTATCATATATGGGATTCCCCTATAAAATGCATTTTATATAAAAGTTCTAGTTTATGAAGCGGGCTGTGCTTTAAGGCATATCCTTGTGCAGAATTTGTTCTTCTAACGGGATGATACGCTTTCTTTTTACACGGTAGTCTATGGGGAGGTCGGTTTTGGCACGGATCGAAAGCTCGCCGTGAGATGCATATCTAAATAATTCGTCTGTTCCTGTTGCTAAAGCTACGTTATTACGCTGAAAATTGGGCCAAAAATAATGGCAGCGTCATTTTCTCTTCATTAGCAATTGACTGTGTTTAGAGACAGGGCGTCATCGTCATACCGCTATTAAACAGTATCATCGAAAGCAGTCCATCAAACGACACGAGGACAACGATCACCCTATCACATTCTGGAGATTCATGCAAAAAGCTCGTACAAAGGTGTACAGATAAAGCAATACTACACCAGCTATAACTGGACAGCGCCAGGGCAGGCCAAGCCATTGACATTTTTAAATAGTCCACCTTAGCCACAAGCTTGTCAACGAGATGATAAAGGTGATTAAATTTAAAAAAAAAAAATAAATAAATTTTATTAACAGCGTGTTCAAAAGTCACATAAGCACGTTAATCAAAAGCTGAACATCTAAAAAAGGTAGCTGTACGTGCGGCCGATTTCCATTTTTCGTTCTCTTAGTATTTACCTGGGCGTCGTGCTTCTGACTTTAGCACTGATTTGAGTAAATCCTCTCATTAGGTGTGGAAACGATTCCACACCACAATAATGGCACAATTTGAATACACGTACGCTAGCACAACCACAAATGAGTTAGACGCACACATCTACTATGATCTCAGCATGAAGCTTAACGCTATACAATGGAATACGCCAGGTCTTTGCGGAAAATGTCGTCCGGGTAAGCACTTCCAGATCATTTGCAAAAATCAGTCTTTTCATCGTTAGCTTGATGGCACTCTTAGAAGAAATTTTTAATTACTGCATGTGCAAATAATGTCTACTCTTCAATCTACATTGTAGTCAATAATGATATGCAATCGATATGGCATAGGAGCCTCTCATATCTAATGTTATGTACCTGACCTGGAGTATCTTCATTCTTTTTTGCCTTCCTTTTCAAACAAGTAAAACGGCGCCATCTTTGGAGTTCTGCGCCATTATTCAGTAAAATGTTTGCGTGTTCATTAAAGCAAAGCTTCTCGAAATTAACTGTCAATATGGTTTTTTTCTTAGAGTCTTTTCGCTCCTATAAAACGTTGGATAAGTGGGTTTATATACGTATAAACCTATATTCGGATATTCTAATCGTAAATATTCATGAGTAAATTCTACTGTTGTGAAATGAGTATCAGGTTCAAAATGCGGAATTCTAAAAATCTTTTTCCACACATATAGAAATTTCTTAAATATTTAAATTTCCCGCCAGAATTGTAAACCCGACAAAATAATCATATGATTGTCATGTCATTCAGTGGGGTCTCTGGTCAGGAACGGGTTAGCAAAGCGCCGTACAGGTTCGTTTGATAAGTACATCGCTCATGTGCCAGCGTTAATAAACGGTTCTAGCATGGCTAGATAAACGCTGTCGCAGCAGACAAACATCGTTTTAGCGATTTGTGTTTTGGCGATTTCCTCTTCTTCTCTGTATTTCGAAGTTATTAGAAAAACCTTTCAGTTGTTCGTGCAACTGCATGCTCTGACAGACCCTCGCTGGAACACCACCACCAAAAGCCCGGCAATAACTGCAACTTAATGTTTCAAATTTTCAGTTTGCTACCGACCCATGGCATTATTTCGAATTGTGTAATAGTAGCAATATGGAAGGATGTAAGCAATATTTCGTTTTCGTTAAACAGCAATGTGGACAGCAAAGACACTATGACAAATAGATATTGCACGCCGCTGCAAACGAATATTTTTAAGTCAAGGTGTTGCACTGCATTCAAGGTCAAGGTGTGCACGTTACTTTTGCGTCACAATGCTTGTGCTTGTATAATATAAAACGTTTACGTCGTTGATGGTTGAATCTCCAGTGCACTCTGCTGTATTATTGGTAGAATTCGACGACATAGTCTTCATTACATATGACGAAAATAATAACAATTAGGTAATTATGGCTACTTATTATCCATATTTAACTAGCATTCACAGCCGAATTAAAGCTAGAGATCCTAGAGTGCGCCGATGACTCAGATAAGATTAACTGTATGCATGAATAAAATACGAAACAGATAGATGGCATCTTCAGTGAAACGTACTATTTTTTACGGACGTTTTACGTTGCTTACGGAACATCTATTTAAGTAACAGTTTGTTATATGCTAGATTATATACGAACCTTTAGGAGTTTTGTGAAAACATATTCTTTCCTATATTGTTTGCTTTCAAGTTTTCGCCAATCGTGAGTGCCAATGGAACTTCCTAACAATAATTTTATATGGTATCATCATCATACTTAAAAATTAAGGAAAATTATTCCGATAGCGTCATCAAACCTTCTTTTTATTTACTGATTATCCAAGCAGTTAACAAACCGTTGAGATATTCGAGAAGATTCGTTTCTAATATCTACAATATGTCACTGGTTTTTTTTTTAATCAAAATCAAATGAATTTAATCTCTTATCAGCTAGATGATATCGAACATTTACCGATTGAAAAAAAAATTAAGTTGCGTTACAAAAAAATAGGAACGACATAAGATAATACGTTGAACTAGAAAAAAACGTTCATATGCGTCACTTCCTTTTTAATATGCAAAGGGTAGCCTGCGGTGTGAAAAAGCACAATAATGAAGAAAGAAACCTACTGACGGTAATTATTATTATTATGCATTCAACTAATTATATCTTCATCTGTATTTTGTTTTGTTTAATATTCTAATATATAAAGAAGGTGCAGTAATGTCGAGGGAAGTTCAGCAGTTAGCAGCGTTACGGGTAGTAGTTGATGCCGTGGACGATGTGCTTACCAGCTTCAGCTCCGCAAAGACGAAAATCATCGAAGTCAATGAGTTAATTGACTCGGACTCCGACTCTACTGCTGAACTCCCCATACCGGCCAGGCGCATCGAGCTTCCTTCTTCCTCCTCAGAAGATTACGGGAGTTCATCGCCAGCTTTCTTGACGGAGGACGGCTATGACGAACTTTCAAATGAGACGATTACGTTGGAAATCGCGAAGGGGTTGGACAACTTGTTGCATGAATACAAGCTTCTTGACAAAGGATTGCGCCAGTTGGACTCTGTGATAGACACAGACGACATCGGCTCTCTAGGCGACCAAGTGTCGTCGCCCGCGAAATATTCGAGTGAGCTTATATCTAACTTCACGTATGGAGGATATGATGAATATGGTTTAGTCTTCTGGAACGACGACTTCACCGAGAGCGATTATCAGTACACAGACGCTGAAGATAGCTTCCACGACGCTGATGATGATGATGATGATGATGACGACGACGACGACGACGACGACGACCCGTATTTTAAAGAAGACGAGGTCGAATGGCCGAATGAGCGGCAGTACACGCCGTCGCCAGCTGGGGGCTCTTTAGTACAGGTGAGTGCCATGACGAAGTCTGCAGTAGAACTTCTCCAATCATTACTGTTATCGCTTTTTCATACGGACGAGCGACCGGCGCGACTTATCGACGTGACCACTGATGCTCAACTGCGAACGGTGATTAAAAACACCTCCAAGTTGCTGGCAAGGGTGGCACATGCAATTGAGGCGACAATAGCCATTCTTGAAGCGATGTTCGACGAAATACGAGATGACGCTGCTGGATTTGATCGGGACCCATTTGTATTATAGACGACGCAGGAGAGCTAAGTGTCCTGTGACGTCGATCATTTTGTCATCTAGTAGACTTAGTCAAATAAGGTCAGGTAAATAAATCCGTAATTTAATACGTTAAGCAGTAATTCGCAGGATAGTTCGATCCAGGAAGGATTACGCCTGGTTCAGACGAGCAAACCAGACAAATCGCCCATTACCGCTTAAGGCTTAAATTCAACCGAATTTGTCCTTGCACATTTTGCCACCGGGTTTGACAGGAAATAGGCTCATAATGAGACTAATGATGATTTGTATTACTCCGATTGTCTCAAGTTCTTAAACGTTCGTATCGAGTCGGCTCTTGTTCTCTATCTTATGCCTTGTATCAATTCCTATAGTTGTTCTTAATCGTGGACTTTAAGAAATTAGTTATAAAGTTTGTGTCCACTTTGTTAGTTAATGTGATTTGTGAATTACGCAGCTTACAACAAAAAGTATGGTATCCCTTATTTGATTTTAATAATGATTGTTTTGATATGTAAAAAGTAAAAATATTATCTCACGCAACATTTATAATAAAAAAAAAAAAAAGATGTACCTATAGTAATTCGTCTTCATTATGCGTCACTCTCGGTAATTTCATTGATTTAGTAAAACACGTAATCCTTATCTTCATATGCAGCTGTATGTGGTCTACTGAGCCCATTGGTAATGGGAGATTTGAATAAACATAGTACCTACACAAATAGCAATTTTTTCTCAGAGTTCATTTTTTCTCATATTATGAGAAAATTTTCAGGGTTATTCTCTATTTTAGAAATCGATTAAAGACAAGACTAGCCTAGATTGAGCATTATCACTAAAATCTTAATTTGATTCTATAGAATCTATCAACACACTACGGGTATATCAGAGCGACTTTTATCAGTATCTTGAAGTGCCCTTTCAGCGAACGCGGCCGACGACGTGTGTGAGGCAGTTTTCCATTGTTTTACGCCATTGGTTTAAGAAGCTGGCTCATTTTTAAAAAATGAGTCAGGTCCTTGAAGCTTGACTTTTTCGATCACAAGATAGCCCTAGTAGCATTGCCCGATATCTCACTAATTTCGAGACATACAGCAAGAAAATTCTTTGCAGAAACTCGTTCTTGGCGCGCCTTGAAAAGGTCGAATCCTATTCAGCCTATTTGTGGCGTACCATCAATTTTTGCGCTTGATAGCGTATTACCACAACGCTAAAGAGACCCAGTGATGCGTCTAACAAAGATTCTTTTTTCAATAACGATCAATATAATTTAGAGGTACGGAAATCGTGAACTTTGTTAGCCGATAAATCAATGGCAAATTTTTGCCCTGGCGCGACGTTAAAAGTACGCCTGTTAAGTAGATGAACGCTTATTTTTGAGTTTCTCATATGCATATGTATGTATACATAAAATGCTCCTATCTCTGTAGTGAAACATTTTTATTTTACACACGGGTAATCAATTAGTAGTTTACATAGAAATATATAAACGTTGTAATATCACACTTAGAAACATAACTTAATACGTCTCGTCTCCTAATGAACTCGATTTTGTCACCCGTTAACTACTACAGTAACTAAGACGTTTTTATAGGATCTTTGTAGCCAGCTCAAACGCTGAAAGCTGATTTCTGTTTTATGCCTAGTTATCATCTAAACGCCTGATCGTTCTTCACGACATGAAAGCTTTGTACAGGGACTAAAGAGGAAATGCAGGAACACACGGACCATAGTGATACTATATAACATATATATGTATATATAGACCGATCCCAAACTTGTAGTTACGGTCGTATTTTTTTGTCATTTCGCGGAGCACATCATTAAAGTGATCACCGAGTCTGTTTATACGATATCAGTGCTAGGTGCGCCAGAGAACGCTGCGATAACAGCGGAGGAGACTACCATACCGCGTTTAACCTATATCTAGTACAGTCGGATTCCCGTGTGGATGCAGCGGACCGTTGACGCATCACATCTGTGTGACAGCCGTGATAAAGCACAACTATTCGTTACCGTCATCTATGTTATGCGTAGTGCTATGATGATACATAGGAAAAAGAAGACAAACTTCTATCGTGTTATTGCATCCCGTCGATGAGAGCGTGTTGGCACAAAGCATGATAACTTGAGTTTGTGCTACTTAAGAATGTTCCTCAAATACACGTCTACATAAATAGGATCTGTTGAACGATCTCTGTAAAATCAAGGATTGCTCATCTAGTTTTCGTACTGAACCCTTCAAAGTGTATCGTTTAAACGGTTGTCTCAGTTGCAAGATCGGAGTTCCAAGGGAAACTGTGTACAATTGATCCTTGGTCGAAACATCTAAACAACAATCCCTTACAGGTACCATGCACTGCAGTGTCGAAAAATAAACTACAATAGTGTAGATTATACTAACTTTTTTTTCCTTTTTTTTTGCTATATTTTTTCTTCCTGGCGTGACGATTTTATTTTTATGGAATGGATTTACTGGACCCGGTAATGGTGTAAAGTTGGACTCGAAAACCAACGGAAGTTCGACGTAGAGGGTGGTTGTTCGTCATGATATATAATAGCCCCGTTTTATCAAGCTGAAACCTATTGTGATACGTATAGCGTGGCGTAGTAGAGCTCGTCATGAAATAAAACACTAGAAAATGAATGAAACACTAGAAAATTCATAGCATACCTTGACGTATATCATGCACCATTGTAAAATTTTTTCGAGTAATAATAACTTAATAACCTAGATCTCATCCTCGTAAATAACAACATTGTTTTTACACTTGAGTGTACATAAAGTTCGACACATTTATTGTCTATCACTTTGATCACCTAACGCGTTATTAGCAGTTTAACAGCGAAGAGTTCAAAATTAGCTTCTTGTAGAGCCAGCAGTCTTCAACGTCCTTCCAAAGAACAGAAGTACGATGAACTCACAGTCTGGAGAATTTGGTAGTCCGAATTATGTCGGCGGTACCTATTCATTAACGTGGAACCACTACATAATATCTGTGCTATTCATCTGCTGTTCTTTTACGGCTAAGGCCGCGTTTAGCTGTTGTTCTGGATCAGATATTAGGTATCTGAGCTTTTTGTTGGGGAAGCACATCTGTGGTTGGACGCGTGATCTATTCTTAGTCCTGCTGTTAAGAGTCGCTTTCGGGCTCCGTAGTAGAAAATGAAATGCTTGGCTTGAATTTTATCCATTGCCATTTAAGCAGAATCTAGTTTTGTCATTTAATTTCTTAATTACTGCAGGATCTAACCTTAGAATAATAATAGAGGTTACGACATGAAGAAGATTACGCTGCTAGGAGGCGTTCCCTTAATGGCCCAGTTATTTTATGTGCCATACGACTAGTGGCATATACGTGAAGCAAATGCGTGAATCTTGTGCAGAATTGTCTACTTCGTTAGTTTTTGCTGGGCACACATATATGACCGGTTCGACAATCAAGAACCAGAAAACCATGAAGCTCCGAAGGCCGTAAGTAACGTATAATACACACCGCTTTAATGCAAGCACATCGTTCAGCGCAGAATGATTTTTTTTATTACTGAACTATTTGAATGGTGCAGGTCAGACCAAGATTAGCTAGTAAATCTAACCTGTCAAAGAGATACTCCCAGCATGTTGCCTCTCACTCTGCTGTTCAATTATGTTTTCTACGTTGAAAACAACGGCTGATATTCCTTCTACCACACTCGATTCCCAGTGGATTATGGGAACAGCGCCAACCTGTGGTGCGAAGATCAAACGAATGTCTATCGTACACGGTAAACTGCGCAGGAAGGTGGTACGATAGTAATGACGTGGGACGTCAACGCCTTACATGTCCAAGCCAATCCGAAACCGATGAGCAAACACAGATCTCTACTCGAGGTCATAGCTCAGTCGTACTTATGCAACTGTCAGAGTTGGGCAGGTTCAAGTTCGAAACGTAACTCGGCACCAAGGTCGATCGGACATTGACGGTAGTGGCATTGTTAATAGCGAGTATGATAGTTATAATGCCTTTATTGAGCTGCTCAAACCGAAATCTATCGCCAAATGAGTTAGCGAGCAGTCCAGTGACACAGTCAGATCCCTGTGGTAGCTACAAGTGCTCTTTTCATTTGTCTGAACAGTAAGGATCTATTCACAACAAAAGATCGGCGCGATTAAAAATGCGTTTCGTATAGTTATACATTCTATTTTCTCTCAGGATAAGCTGTTTATTGAAATACTGGAATAAATAAAACACTTCTAATTTATCATTATAAGTTGTTCTAAAGCTTTAAAATACTTTTCTTTAAATCCCAAGCGCTGTCGTGTGTACCAAATAAGCCGCCATCCGCTCCTGCATATAGGCCCTTTTGTGAACAGTGGTGTTATACCAAGGGCACCTTGTGTCATTTTCGTTTTCAAATTTTCGCGCGGCTACGATCCTTATTCAAGCTCCTATCAAATATCGGTCTCTTTTAACCTACTTCGCTTTGAACAAGCATATAGCCACAAGATTCAACGAAGGCTACACCCAAATTCAGTACACTGGCAGTCAATGAAGTGTTGGCTCAACGTGCAATGCTTTAACCGTTGACTGTGTCTAAAAAAGCCGGACAGATCGTGTAGACAATTGGCCGTTGAGATACTTAATCCAGCCATTACTTCATTTGCAATCCTGTCCCCTTGAACATGGCCAGCTGTCAGAAACTTTTTGTAAAGAAGGCCTCAGAAATAATAGCATTGTCAGTAACAAGACTCAACATAATCACGTTGCAATTTTCACAGGTATCGAGTATTATACCAGCTTACAAAATGATTTGGAAGGGCGTTTAGCGCCCTGTTTAGCCTATGCATGACCTATACGAAATTGCAAAGGATTATAAGTTACTTGGGTATGCAATAAGGGTCGCTTGAAGGAGCTCTGCGAAAAACATAGAATCAATTGGCTAAATACTTTTTCCCTCCATACGGAAAAGTCGATTTGTTTCCATAGAGCGTAATGTTAACGGGTTCAAGATGAATCGACCGCAGCACGACACCAGCGCTGATAGGGCGGTCATCGGCATCGCTCGCGCTAATATATCATCAACGTAAAAAATATATATATTAGGGAAGAAGCTATTCCTAATAGAGAATAGTTGGGCGTTATTTAACGTTACTTCTGTTGTAAATATAATTAGTTTTTAACTTTTACGCAAATGTGTTCAATAGCAAAGAAGGTGCTGGACGGAACTTGCAGGTGGCGCTCTAGTATTTATAGAGATTGAACAGTAAATGCGTTTCCAGTAAACAGCGGATAGATAGATTCGCACATCGACATGACGCAAACTCTATATGTCTGTATGACCTGAATAGGCATTTTTACAACGATAGAAGAACTTGTATGTGGTAGTAGGGGCAACTGTACTTGTCTTAAATTTGTCAAGTATTTAGCTGTATGGATACTCCACTGGAAACAAATCCGTATCTCTTTACCGCTTATTCACGGTACATCTCATAATAACTATATCAACCTATGGAGATTGAGGTTTACCT